AGGGACTGTCAGCTGATTGAAAATGTCCAAAGGAGGGCCACCAGATGGGTACCTGCATTGCGGCACTTCAGCTACCCGGAGAGATTGGAGCGCTATAACTTGCCTAGCTTGTACTACAGACGGGCAAGGGGAGATCTGATTGAGGTGTACAAGCATCTCAGAGGGCACTACTCAGTCAGGTGTCCTTACCTGGAGGTGGCGGACGCTCGCCCCACAAGGGGACACACAGCTCAAGGTTAAAGAAGCCGCAAGTCCGGATAAATGTGAGGAGTAACTTTTTAACCCCTATCTATGATGTTATTCTTGTATATATATCATATTGCTTTCTACTTCTAATTTTAATGCATGATATATGGGACTATTCCTAATAAAATAAACTGACAATTTTGACATTAGTTAAACAAACTGAACTTCTTGTATTAGCAAATGACTAATCTTAGTAGTTATAGATGATCAGGAAATGCTGACACACTGGAGGTCGTCATATTGACACTAGCATATATTATTATGCTCAGCATACACATTCCTCAATATCTTTACACCTAGATCTGTGTCCATGCACACCTTCAAAATGTTCAGTATTTTTTGTATTTTAATTTTTTCTCCACGGAACAGATTAATTTTGCTGTGTCAGGATAAGAGCAAGTTAAGGGTTACTAGATGAGGCCAGACAATTAACAGTTACTAGCCATTTCCCTAAAAAACGTTGCCAACCCATGAAAATGTTTCCTTCCTACGTGAATTTGAATTTATGATTTATAAATACATAAAACCAATAGTCAATGTTCAGCAAACTCATTATAAGTTCTAATAAAAATAAAAATTATTAAAAACAAATTTCTTATATAAGTGAAACATATTTTTGTATACTTAGCAACTATTATTCATTTTTATTATCTTGTGATACCAACCTTGACCATTTGTGTTATTCAGTGTACGAGTATTTTTGGTACTTGCAGAAACATTTTAGAAAGGCACTGTAGGCAAGTTTCATTGAATCTCAATCACCATTTACATAAAGGTTGAAGATCTCAGCTTAGCTAAAGCACACACACCATTATAACAAGGTTAGGTGCACATAGGGCTTATCTGCGCGGATATTACACCGCGTGGAACTAGGTGGGTGGTAGCCGAGCGATGTATTAGCTGCTATCAACTAATATTATATAAATATGGGCTAAGGACATATATTCATTATATACATTCTACCACCCAGACTATTGAGCATATAGTTACATAAGCATTTGTTCTGTCACACCTCCTAGGGTGGACAGCCCATAAACATTTGTTGTTTCACACCTCGGGTATACAACCCATAAATTCTACTTCTCAGTCCTCCCTGTGTGAGTCGGCCTGTTTAGATTTTATGTCTGTGTTGATGTATAGATTACTCTCCAACAACCAGACTCAAGAGAGGTCAGCCAGTTTCACCAGTACACAGCCAGACATGATACCATAACGTCGTGTCGAGAGCCTCGCTCTCAAAGCTGTACCTCTCTCTAATTATATCAGCTAATTACAAGCTAATAGCTAATGCTCATTAGTCTGGGTGGTAGAATGTATTTAATGAATATACGTCCTTAGCCCATATTTATATAATATTAGTTGATAGCGGCTAATACAAGCCGCAAGTCCGGATAACTGTGAGGGGTAACTTTTTCGGAGTGGAGTTGTGAACTCTTGGAGCAATCTGCCAGAGAATTTGGTGATGCATAGGGTGTGTGGCGGGCACTGGTAAACACAGCTGTGAGTGCTAGCTCCCAAATTTGGGATGTTTTCGAGCCTATTACATTATCTGAAGGATATATAGACTTACCTACTTGTGTATAAGGACCTGAGGATAAGATAAGTATCGTCAAGCAACTTTGGTGTTGGGAACTTACTGTTTACCACACGAAAATAACTGCTCGGGGTCCCATCACTCCTGGCTGGGTGTTGTGGGATGTCAACATTGCCCCATGGAAAGTGAATTATCGCTTAAGAACTCTACATGGAAGAGTAAAGAAAAGATAGTATTGGACGAAGTTCTTGAAGACCTTGAGTTGAGTAGTGATGAGTCTAATACGAGTGAAGAAGCACAAGGGAAGTTCGAAAGTGAGAAAATACAGCTACAAAAAGAGGTAGTGAAAAAGAAAGAAATTTCTAAAAGGATGAGGGAGACAAGCTGGCAAGAGGACAGTGAAAGCGAAGAAGTGAGAAAGGAGAAGAGACAAAAAAATCTAGGACAAAAAACGTATGTGGGTGGTAATAATAATGGAAATAACAGAAAGGAGATAGTGGAGAATGGATCAAGAACAGAGCAAAGTATGGAATTTGAAGGAAGCAGACAAGAACACACACAAGGTGAAGTTGGTCGTGTCAGGAAGAGATTAATTTTTCCACAGTCATGCCCGATGACCTTCCTTGAAAAATTAAAATGGGCAGTACAACTAGGACGGGAGCATCGCAGCTTTGAGCCTCTTTTGAAAGAAGGCACACACAAGCCTTATCTTACAGTGGGGACCATGGAGGCTGTGGAAATGTTGACAACTGTTGGGTACAAGGGATTACTGATGGTTTTGCCAGAGGAGAGTGACATACTACTTACAATGGTTATAATCTTCAGGTACCCTGTAATACTGGATCCAGAATACTTATTGGATGACGAAAGATTTGTTTGGGTCAAGAGGCATTTAATAAGGGGAGAAGAGAGAAGCCAGATTATTGCTCTAATGAGAGGAAAGGTTCCAGAGAAAGTGTCCATCACAGGAGCAGGGTATAGGAAGGTGGCAGTATATGTGGAGGGACCAATAATGTGTCTCAAGTGTTGCAGATGGGGACATAAGGCCTGGAGCTGTCAACTGGACCCACGTTGTAGATTCTGTGGGAAGAGGCACGAATCTAGCAACTGTAAGGACAAGATCAAAGCAGGAGAGAAAGTGAAGCCTTGTTGTTGTAATTGTGGTAAAACTCACAATGCTAGTTCAATTGCATGCGAGATGAGGCCACGTATGAGAAGTGACCAACAAAGGAATTATTTAGAGAACACTGAAGAAGTACGCTGTGGTCTGACAGTGACAAGACAGCAGGGGAACACACAGACAGTGGAGACAGTGATCCCTGAGAATGCCTGGCATGAAGATTCAAGAAGGATAAGGACTGCGCTTGCGGCCAGAAGAGTTGTTGATGCCAGGAACAAACAGAGTAATAAACAAGTAGCCAGTGAGAGTAGTGGTGCAGCCCTCCAGGTTAGTGATAAAACTGTGCAAGAAATTCTGGGAGAAGAGGTGCGTAAGATGTTTCAGCTTTTGCAAAAGTTAGATCAGAAAATAGAAGTGATAGAGAAAAGACTTGATATATTGATAAATAAAGAAAGGGAAAACAAAGCTGTGAGTAATGTAGAATTAGAAGGGAAAGAGGAAAGTGAAGAACTCAAGCTTTTGAAAAATTCAGTGCTTAAAATAAGTATTAAAGGGAAGGAGAGGAAAATAAAGGATTGTGTAGTGCAGGGAGCAACAACTGAAAGTTTTAAAAATGTGTTGGTAAAGTGTAAAGATGCTGATAAAGAAAAACTTTTGAGGAAATGGGAATCTGTGCAGGAGGATTGGGCCTTCTTAAAGAATCTGATTGGAAAGGATGTAAAATGTGTAAATATTAATCATGGATCTAGCTAGCCTTAAGATAATGTCCTGGAATGTTAATGGTCTACGAAATAGAGTGACAGATGTACATTACTTTACCCTTAAAATAATATTGACATAATTACCCTTCAAGAGACTGGGGACAGGAAAGGCCTCCTGCTTAAACTGTCTGGATATAAGGGATTTCATCTCTATTCGGGTGAAGGTATAAGAGGGGTCTCAACATACATTAAGAATTCCATACCAGCAGAACTAGTTGGAAGCCCGAGTAGAGTACAAGGAATAGAAAGCGTCTGTATAAAGTTATATTTGAAGGAAGGAGAATTGAACATAGCAAATTTTTATATTTCTGGAGGCTGTTTTGACCTCAACTTCTTACCAGATTGCATGTTTTTGGACTCAACTTTGGCTGTAGGAGATTTAAATGCTCGACATCCAAGACTCGAAACAATGGGGAGAATTAATTGTAATGGTATAAAATTTTGGCAATTTTTACAAGATCACCCAGATGCTTACTTGTTAGGAAATGAGGAAGTGACTCATATTAAAGGAGGAAGGTTAGACTATGCTTGCATGATAAGCAGTCAGGGAGTCCAGGGAGAATGTGAGATAATAAGGGAGCTAGTCAGTGACCATTTTGTTGTGTGTGTTCAATTACCATTAGGGAAGAGACAGGTGAGATATAGGAGGAAGAGATTGAAACTAAACAAGGATGACACAGAAGTGTTTACCCAGGCACAGATGACTGACCCACATCGGGGCCTGGGGGGCGAAAATGTAATAATAATAATAATTATAATAATAATAATTATTCATAGTAAATAAAATTTTTAATAAAAATACACCAAAATAAAATAATAATGATAATAATAATATTAATAATAATAATAAAATATAATAATAATAATAATAATAAATAATAATAATAATAATAATAAAATATAATAATAATAATAATAACAATAATACTGTAATAATAAAATAATAATAATACAGTAAAGAAATACAAGAATGAAAAAAAGATCAAAAGTGAGAAACATGACCTAGGCCTATGAATTATTATTATTATTATTATAATTTTTATTATATTTTCGACCCCCAGGCCCCAATGTGGGTCAGTGATCTATGCCCGGGTGGGCTAGTACACATTATATATATAAAAAAAAAAAAAAAAACCTAACCATTCTGAAAACCGAAAAATTCCAAAAACCGAAATGCCTCTGGCCCCAAGGATTTCGGATAAGAGATTGTCAACCTGTACCACCGTCTGAATTTTGACCTTAATTAGAAACGGTTGTTTGAAAATTGCCAGCTTATCCCTGGCTGCATACGAGTAAAAGTAGTTGCCCAGCAACAAGGTCATGTACCAAGTCCAAGTACCTGGATAAGGGAACGTGAACCAGGAAGATTGTCTGAGAAGGCCTGTAGTTAGGTCTGTCCTGGCCTTGTTGCCTTCTGGAAATACTTCAGCAGCTGTAAGAATGGCACAGAACCCCCATGAGAGCACAATTGCCATCAGCACCTGTAAGAGTGAGGAGAATGAAAATGTGTCTTGTTTCCATGACAATCTGGAATTAAGTTTCATTGACTTTTCCATGACAGACTAGGATTTTTCATAAATTGAATCTTTAATTTTACAAAAGGAAATGTCAAAAGTTGGATATGTACAGAAGTCAATATAATGATACTGATCAATGTGACAGGAAAGGTAACTGCACATCATGTGGTTTGTCAAGGTCCCATCTTTTTCGCCTTAGAGCCACCTGACCCATCCCTAGTTTTCTTTAAGCTGACTATTGGTCAGAAAGACAACACAAACTACAGTAATGTATTAAGCAACATCAATACATTTAAAGATGCACGGCAAGTTTAGAATGCAATGAGAAATTCATTGGGTGAAAGCACAATTGCTTATGTGCATGCTAAATGGGTTGTTAATGGATACAGTATTCAGAAGGAGAGAGAAATATGGGCAGAGGACTTGCTAAACATCTCTTCATGCAGTATAATTTTCAGTGCATCGTTCAAGAAGGCATTAATTGGGTAATACTGTACAGTAAACACATTCATTTTTTTATGATTTGCAGATACTGTACTAAAAATAAAAAGCTTGTCACATAATTTTGGAAGTGCAAGAGGACAAAAATAAGCGAATACAAATTGGCCTGGCTACATGCACAATTGCTGTTGATACTGACAGGTAAAACTGATGAATACTTTCCACACAGAGGAGTTACCCACTGGGGTCATGATGAGCAAACCTGGGGTCATAATGATATCTATTAGTCACCTGGGGTCATTATAAGCACCTGTGAGTAGCCTGACACCATTCTGAGCACACACAAGCCACTTACTTTATGGACATGTGTGACTCATATTCAGGATCTATTCGTCATTTAACCTATGGGTCACTTGGAATCATTATAATAACAAAATAACTCACTTGATATTATTATTATTATTAACACCCTGAGGTCATAATGAGCATATATAAGACACTTGGAATCATTGTGAGCACATTTAACACTCCCAGCCTTATTATGAACAATTGTGTAACACGTGACACCAAGGCAAACACTCTTCTGGCATGTATAGTCACTACGAATACCCGTGGGAACCAGCCATCAATAGAGGCACCCAGAATCAAATCTAGGCAACTGTCACCACTGAGACTGTTTTATTGGTTGTATTATTTTATGGCAGTAATGATAAATTGGAGTAAAAAATTTGAACATTCAATGAAGCATATAAGAGACTTAGGTAAGTTTCAACTGGAAAGGTAATAGAGTGTTTAAGAGATTTAAAGATATTAATGTTCCTGTAATGAAAAGTTTTAAGCTTATCATTTTTTTTTACAGTATTGTGCAAAAGTGCTATAATTGGCAAAAATGGTTGGAGTAAATTTATTTCACCAAGTTTGAAAATTTGCAGAAACTCAGACATTAAGAAACTAGAAGAATACTGTACCATAATCCTTATCCTAATAATCTTCCATATAGCAACCTAGGACAAAATTCCATGACTTAAATTTTTTGGTAATTTTCTATGAGTTTCCACGAAGATAAATTTAGCATAAAACTTATGCCAGTTAGTTCTCATAAGACAATAATACGGGCAACTAACTGGGGGCCTAGAGTCTCCCTACCACCCCCTTTAATACCAGCCAGGACTGATAACCCATTTCAGTCAACTAATCAAACCATCCTCCCCATCATACCATTTTCCTCAAATGAGTGAGATAGGGTAGAGGTGCAGTACAATATTTACCCTCTAGAGCAGGGGTTTCCAACTGGTTGGGAACCCCTGCTCTAGAGATGAGGTCTTTTCTGTGCCACGTCTATCCAATTAGCATAATTTTCATAACAGCCAAGGTCTGCTATTGTGATTTCTGAATCAATACAGTACAGTATGTAATTCTATAAAATCCATTTCTTAGTGTTGGCGTTTGTGAGTGAATACAACAAATCAGATCTCCCCTGACTACCATTATCTACCTACACACTGCTTGCGGTCGTGAAGAAAGTTTAATCCATGCCAAGATATATCCCCAAATTCCATATCCATTAAGTTTGTTTTAGCCTTTCATGAGATACACTATTGAATGGCTTCGTAAAGTCTTACTATACAATGTCAATATTGCCGCTTTGCACCAGGACCTGTGTAATGGTAGCAACTAACACAAAAGCAGTAATTTAAATGTTATAAATCTACAAAATTCTAAGAATTATGAATGACCTTATGTAAATCTATACATTTGTTGATTTACTTCTTTGCTCTTGCCTGGGAAATAATTTGTCCATACCGGGAAGAGTTTGAAGATGTAGACGTAAGAGGCCGCACAACCTGAGTTTTTGTTGTAGGTGGGGAAGGGCACAGCCACATCCCTCAAGTACTGAGAGAACAGGATCATCAGCGCTATTGTCCTGAGGATGAAGAGAAGACCAAAGGAGGAGGAAGGGGAGGGGGGAGAAGAGGAGGGAATAGGATGAGAAAAGGAGGGTGAAGGATGGAGGGTGAGGGATGGAGGAGGGTGAAGGATGGAGGAGGGCGAGGATGGAGGAGGGTGAGGGATGGAGGGGGTGAAGGATGGAGGAGGGTGAGGGATGGAGGGTGAGGGATGGAGGAGGGTGAGGGATGGAGGAGGGTGAAGGATGGAGGGGGAGAGAGAGAGGGGGAGGAGAAAGGAGGATGAGGAAAAGAGTAAGGAAGGAGAAATATGAGGGAAGAATGGAAGGGAAAAGGGAAGATAGAAGAGAAAAGAAAGAAGAGGGAAGAGGAAATAAGGAGGAGTATAGAGGGAGGAAAGGAGGAGGAGTAAAGCGGGAGGAAAGGATGATTAAAGAGGAAAGAAATGATAGATGAGAATGAAGAAAAGAAATGGCAAGAGAGATAAAGTGACGAAAACAGCAAAGCAAAGAAAACTAATGTTAATTACTACAAAACATAAGATTTTATTTTCAGAATATTCATCAAAGGTCAAATATTCTCCATAACCTCAACTTTTTATTGGCTTGACCGGATCCTAAGCAGGACACCTCAAGGAGGGTCCCATATGGACCTACATGAAGGAGATGCCCCAGTGGAATGCTGCCTTGTCTGCTGCCACACTGAACAGTGAGAGTCCTACGAGTGTCACTGTAGGAACGATGGCCAAGGGTGTGATCCATGTTAGCAGGACGCCCATCAGCCCTAGAACCAAGGAAGGATATTCAGCTGTGTTTTATAACATATTTATCTTCCTTACCAATAAGTACAGTGCTGAGTGAGTTACCTGATCACACACAAGTTCTGTTTTATTTCTAAACAGGTGCTGCCAAAAAAATTCAAAAGTGTTACAGCAACAAAATAGAGATATGCATTTTATTAATTATGAATTACAGATTAAATCAACACATGAACATATGGTACAGAATACAGATATTATTTGTTTACTCATTGTTCATGTTGCTCTTTCTCAAGTTGAATCTCTTCCATCACAAAATCTAATACACTGTACTTCGATCTAATGATTGACAAATGTGGAGCGTGGAATCGCCTGCACTACACCCGAGGTGTAAAAGTGAGCGTGGCATCAGTGGTACTGGTGTTTCATGAGGAACTCATTCACCTCACCTCGGTGTGGCTGACACCCTCATTAAACTTGTATGACGATTTTACTGAATAAATATTATTGTTGTTACTATAACTGTTGGTGTACTTAGTAGGTTAGCATTACAAACTATGATTAAACAAAATGATGGAGCTTATAATAAAATGTGGGAGGAAGCAAGGAGCACTTTACAAGCCAACCTGTTGAACAATATGATTGCAAATTCTTCCTGCAAACTATTAGTGAACAAAGTGAAATATCTGATGGATAAATATGTTTAGCCATATTCAAGACCAAACCTGTGTGGGTTAAAGGGCAACCAAGAAACACTTATCCCTGAATCAAAATTGAGTGGATGTAAAAGTAAAGTTAAAATATTTTTTGTTAGGGAGGAGGAAGTGGAGACAAATGAACAATAGACACTAAACCTATTAAACTACAGTACTGTGTACAGTTATTAAAAAAAATATGGTTGACTAATTACCATAGTTTACCTGTAAGGATGATGTAAACCTTGGGTATGGCATGAAGGCTGGAGTTAGGTCAACTCGCTTCATGACCCAAGGTAGGGAACTACAATAAGCCTAGCCACATTTAGACCACCTTCCTAGACCCCTTTTTAACACATCTGACATGGTCTTCAGCTGGCCACCACTATTATCCCAAGACAACACAAGCTTAGAACAATTACTACAGTGTGTCTTTCCTTTATCTGCCAAAGACAGCCTTAGATTCTACCTACCTATTCAGTGTGTTTCTGAAATATGTTTTATAATCCTGGGGGTGTTTTTCTGAGACATACATAAGGATGAACGACTTCAGGATCATTGGAATTATAATGCCTTTACTTTTATCCTCTTTGCCACTGATCGGCTCGTTAGCCACTTGGGCGGTCGGTCACTTCTCTGATACGCACTGTTGGTAGATACTGGGCATGCACTGGCTCCTAAATATATATATGCCTATATGCCTGCGCCATTGTTGGTCAAGGCTGGCCTTGAATGAGCTCACACTCGGTGCCGTCACAACGCTCTCCGGCAGATTGTTCCGAGAGTTCACAACTTTCACTCCAAAAAAAATTGCCTTTACAGTTTTCTAGACTTGTGGCTTCTTCAATCTTGAGCTGTGACCCCTTGTGGGGCGGACGACCGCCAGTTCTAAGTATGGACAGTCAACCAAAGATGCACTGACCCCACCCTGGGTCTCGTACTCACAATTTTACGTGGCAATACTTGGTAAAGTAAGGCTGTATGTGTTAGGTGTTCTGGGTAATAAGTTCTATATACAGGAGAGAACACAAACACCTGTATAGTTTTGTAGGTTCGGTTTACTGGATAAGAGTATGTACACAGAGGGGGAGGTAGCACTCCTCAGCTAGGCTCCTGGTCAACTGCTATAGACGACGTATGGCAAGTGATACATTAGCAGCTTCCATACGTCGCCAGGCACATTAATTAAGCATGTGGGATATGGTAATAACATTGCCACACGCTGCTAGCTAGGCTGAATAAATAATACATAAATGGAGCACATACATAATATACATACATAATATATAATCCAGCATACATAATATACATACACCTCCCTCCCCCCTATACGCTCATAGCAAAGTCTTGAGCGGACCTTTTCTTTTGGATCCGTTCTGAGCGTCGAGGGACTTCATCACTGGGAAGGGTATGGGACTCAACACTGGTGGCGGGGCCAGCAGAAGGCATTGTTACGGGGCGGAGAAAACGGCGGTTCCTCCACCACACACGACCACTGGGTAACCGCACCTGGTAGTCCCGTGACCTACCGAGACCCATGACTACGCCTACTTTGTCCCAACGTAGGGAGGTCGGGTCCTGAACACGGACTTGGGTGCCGACACTCAACCTGGGGAGAGAACGGGCGTGGTCGTTGTAGCAGGCGACGACGTCCTGAACACATTCGGCGGCTCGGCGATCACAATCCTCTGTCTTGGCCTGCCACTCCTTGGAGAAGGATTGAGGGTGAGCAGGGACACAAGAACGAAGGGGGCGTCCATACAAAACCTGGGCAGGGGAGCGTCCGGTGTAGTTAGGTGTGTTGCGGAGTTCAAGAAGACCCGGTCGAAGGCCTCGCAGTCAATGTTCCCAGAAGGGGCCACCTTAAGGATGAGGTGCTTCAGGGATTTGACAGCAGCCTCAGCGTGGCCGTTGGACTGCGGGTAATGGGGCGATGACAACACATGCCGGACTCCCCATCGGTCAAGGAACACAGCGAAGTCCCGGCTTGTGAACTGAGGCCCTCCGTCGGTTCGCAGGCGTACAGGAACGCCCACGTCACGGAAGTAGTGGCGGAACTTGCTGATGGTGGCGGCAGACGTCGTGTCATTACCGCACTCGATGACAACCGGCCAACCAGAGAGACGGTCGACGATAACAAGGAAGGACTTTCCTGACACACAGAAAAAGTCGGCCGACACAGACTCAAAGGGGCGGGTGGGGTTGTCGTCACTCATGAAGGGTTCCTGCTGCTGGCTGGGTTGTAATACGTGGCGGGGCTTACACACCTGGACAGCATTGGAGATGTCGGGGTCGATGCCAGGCCGGAACACAGTCTGTCTTGCACGTCGTTTGGTGGCCTCAGCTCCACGGTGACTGTCGTGAAGGCGAGCCAAGACGTGGGGACGTGATGCAGCAGGGACAACTACCGAAGGAGAGGTGTCACTGGCCAGAAGTAGGGGTAGGGCGGCAGCAGGGTAGTTGCTGCTCCCTTCGTGCACCCTGTTGGCGTATTTTACCTCAAGAATCGGTGTTGGGAAGTCCTGGGAGATGATGGCCAACTCTTGGCAATGTCTGTAGGACAGCAAAGGAGTCGGGACACCATTATGCACGTCAATCCAGGCCTGACACGACCTGTTGCCAAAGGTGACATGTGCATAGAGTGAACCCAGGGCTGGGGCCATCTGTGAACCATCTGCCGTGACGCAGAGGTCCTCGGGAGGCGGTCCTAGATCGCTTGGAGAGAGCCCCAAGCATCGCAAATGCTGGGGACCGATGACTGTAGCATCAGCGCCGGTGTCGGGCAACATCTGAAGACGGGATGACACACCGCCGTAGGTCACGATGACGCTGATGTACTGGGGGACTTTGGTCCTGGGATGCGAGGAGTACACCCTCCTAAAATGGGTCGGGCTTTGTCCAGGGTCGTCGTGCCTCTGATTTGGCGACTGTGGGCGGCCCTCTCTGGTGGAAGGGCGCTGAAGCTTCCGCCGACGCTGTCCCTTGGGTTTGTGGGTAGGGCAACACTTGTCATAGTGGCCCAGACGACCGCACACATTGCACTGGACGCGTTTGGCTGGGCACCGTACTGTGAGCGACCAGTGGCCCTTACGGTCACAACTGTTGCAGGTAGACTGAGCAGCTGGGCACACCTGTGTTCCGTGCTGCTTACCACAGTTGTTGCAAAATGAACCGGGCGTGGACGTGGTGGGCGAAGGTGTAGGAGCAGACTTCTTGTCCTTCTTGTACCGGGAAACAGCACGTACAGCTGTAGGGGGAGCTCGGATGGCAGAGGTGGCACACCTGGCAGCCTCATAGGAGCGACATATCGTCAACACATCCTGAAGAGAAGAGGAAGAGTCGAGGGAGGTGAGGCGTTGGACAAGTTCCTCGTCCTTAACACCCATCAAGATCACCTGCTTCAACTGGGTCTCCTCGCACTGCTGGTGGTGGCCTAACATATATCTACCTCTTCCGAGGCTCTCTTAAGACGTACATAAAAAGCGTCAAAAGACTCACCCTCCATCTGTCTGCAGCTAAACAATTCCCTCCTGCGCAGAGCTTCATTCTGCTGTCCTTTGATGTGCCGTTGTAGAACGTCCAGTACCTCCTCTACAGACAGCGAAGAGGTTGGGGGTACCTGCAACGTATGTTCTAAGACACGCTGAACTTCCAAGGACAGGCACATACGCAGCTGGATGAGTTGTTTCGGCTGTGACAAACTCTGGAGATCCACCATTGTAGCATAATCAGTCCACCGTCGCCGCCATTCACGAAAAGTCTGGAAATTCACATCAGGCTCCAAGATGGGCGGTGTTTGAGCTGCTGCTTTAGGTGGGGCTGGGGGGCGTGAAGGAAGCATGGATGAGGTATCTGAACCATTCAGTACCGAGGCAGTGTTAGAGCCAGGGGCTTGGTTAACAGTGAGGCAAGATATCAAGGCTTCAAACCGTGCACTGTCTTCCATTCTCCGTTGGTGGTCTCGTTCTGCCTCTGCTTGCCTTCTGTGCTCATCCGCCAAACGTCTGTGAGCTTCATCCTCGCGTCTCTCATCTCTCATAAACTTCATTAAGGCAATTATCTCTGGAGACAACGCTGAATATTGAGGTGAAGGGCTGCGCGATGTTGTGGGAGCTGGAGCGTCGTGGCCGGCCTGGTCATCCATCTCTGGGGGACTATCATCCGCTTGACTCATCCAGGCGCTGGCTCCACGGCTACGTAAGGCATGAGACATAACTACTTCATCTGTGTACTGTGTCTTAAATCAGTGTTGACCGGTCAGCCCGTCGTATCAACAAGATTTCAGACAAAAAAATTAATTAAATACACAGATAAGTAGGTTATATATATAAAATATATATAAGGGAGCCGCGCGGTCAGCAAGTGTTAGTGCATGTATGTGTGTGTGTGTGCTGGGCGGGCAAAGCGTCTCGCCCCAGCTGTGAGGGGGGGTGGAGGCGGCGCTGTGAGGGGGGGTTGGAGAAGTGCGGCGACTGGCAGTCCGTCCAGTTACCCTCAGGACGCGGTTAGAGAAGGGTGCACTGAACTCTACTCCCAACAAATGCCCAGAACATGCCGTATACCTTGGGAATCCGTTCGAACAAGGTCACACATGAATGGCACGAAACACACAATGCACTAAACACTTCACAGAAAATCACTGTCACTGACACTGCTCAAAGTTGCGAAATTCTTCGAGGAGGGATGACGGGCGGCGGTTGGTTGACGCAGGGAAGGAGTCCATAAGCCGGCTTTCACAAACTTGCACTAATCACTCGTAATTATCCAGTAAGATTACGCACTGCGCCATGTTAGGTGTTCTGGGTAATAAGTTCTATATACAGGAGAGAACACAAACACCTGTATAGTTTTGTAGGTTCGGTTTACTGGATAAGAGTATGTACACAGAGGGGGGGTAGCACTCCTCAGCTAGGCTCCTGGTCAACTGCTATAGACGACGTATGGCAAGTGATACATTAGCAGCTTCCATACGTCGCCGGGCACATTAATTAAGCATGTGGGATATGGTAATAACATTGCCACACGCTGCTAGCTAGGCTGAATGAATAATACATAAATGGAGCACATACATAATATACATACATAATATATAATCCAGCATACATAATATACATACAGTATGTAAAGGTGATTGTGATTGGTGGATCTATTTTCGGCTGTATCACTGTCAGGATAAATATTAAAGAAACCAAAGGTAGCATTTTTATGATAATGAACTATTTATCATCATTTTAGTTTATGAGAAGATTCCAATTCGACCGAGTAGTGCCCCTTGAGATGTTTATAATCTTCGATTAGGTCGCCCCACACAACTGTAGTCTGTAGTATAAGCTAGGTAGTTACAGGCGTTCTAATCTCTCTTCGTAGAGCAGGCACCAGTCTGGTGGCCCTCCTTTAAAAAATTTCAGTCAATTGACAATCTCTAGCATACCTCGGGGACCAGACAGGGTGACAATACTCCAGATGGGGAAGCACCTCACTCTTGAAGATTGTGACCAGCGATGAACCATCCAGATATCTAAACGACCTTATTATAAGACCTACTAGTTTCGTTGCCTGATTCACCTTCTTCTCACAATGGCCCGAAAACTCATGTTCATTATCAACATACACACCCAGGTCCTTTTTGCATTCTGTCTCAATTAATGCATCCTTTTGCACTTCGTGACATTAAATCTCAGCAGCCATTTCCGCGACCATTCTTGAAGCTCATCGAGATCTTTCTGCAGCTCTTCACAGTCTGTTTAGTTCTTAATTTCCCTAAATAACTTGGCATCATCCGCAAACATTTGTATGGCGAAGTGTGTAGTTTCTGGCATGTCGTTAACGAAACAGACAAACAACAATGGGCTCAATACACTGCCTTGTGGTACTCTGCTCGTCCCAGGTATAAATAACGATTTTGTACCATTTATCACCACACAATGTTTGCGGTTATGCAGAAAGTCTCCGATCCACGCGAGAACACTTCCCTGAATCCTGTACCCTTCCAGTTTGATTCTCACCCTTTCATAGGATACACTGTCAAAAGTCTTGGTAAAATCTAGGTATATATTGTCAATATTTCCGCCTTATTCTAGAATTTTAGTCCAAACATCTAGTACCTTGAGTAATTGTGTTAAGCAGGATCTTCCCGGCATAAAACCGTGTTGGTATTCCTTTCCAAGGTTGTTTCGTAGCAGATATTTAATCACGGGATCTCTTATGATGCTTTCAAGTACTTTACACTGGACTATAATTATTCTTGAAGTGACAATCTCCATTTTTGAATAAAGGACTCACATAAGCCATCTTCCAGTCATCGGGGAGCTTTTGCTCCTCCAGGCATTTGCAGAACAGGATCTTAAGGGACTCCGCAAACTCGTTACACAGTTCTCTTTACACTCTGGGATGCACCATATCATTTCTGGGACTCTTGTGAATCTTTAGCTTTGACAGTTTATTTCTTATAACCTCTTCCGAGAACACAATGTGAGTCAGCTCTGTGTCAAACCGTCTTTTCTCAAACGCAGTAAGATTGTTCGCATCCTCTCTTGTGAACACTGAGGAAAAGAATTTGTTCAACGCCTCCGCCTTATCCTGGTCAGAATCTGCACAACTACCACCTTCAAGCCTCAGGTCCGATATGCCTACTCGCGTTTTTAATTTCGACTTTGCGTTGTGGTAAAAAGCTTTTGGGTTTGACTTGATCTCACTCCTTTTCAGCCCTTCTACACTCTGATTTTGCTTGGTTCCTGGATTTGGCATACAGCCTCCTGTCCTGTTCATCATTTGTCCTAAACCACATCTCGAAAACCTGAGTTTTCTTTTTAACTTTGCCGACTGCTGCTGTCTATGATATTCAGCGTAGCAACTGCGTTCTTATTCCTTAGTAAGTCAGGCCAGTGTTTTGTCATGAACCAAGTAATAGTTAAATCTGAATGACAACGTTTCGTAGTGACGGGTGACAATGGGGGCTAGGTGTTCCAGATTGGCCACCATACCCTCCTTGTTAGTTATAATGAGGTCCAGTGATTTGGGTGTTTGCTCCCCTCTGTAGTAAGTCGGATCTTTAACATGTTAGAATAGAAAGTTGTCTCTCAGAGTTTCTATAAAAAGAGTGGCAGGGTTATTTAGTTCGTTTGGCGTAGATTCATTTCTCCACTTGATGTTGCCATAATTAAAGTTCCCCGTGACAAGGAGGTGGCTAGGGATCTGCACAGTTTCATTGTCAATTAAGGTTTTTAAGTTCCTCTGGTTCAATAAACCACAGTTTGGGGATCTGTAGATACACCCGACAATAAGTAAGTCTCTTCCCTTCAATTTAATTTTACACCACTTTGATTCTTCGAAAACATCCTCTCCCCACACCCTCACCTGGCTGGCTCTAAGGTCTCGCCTAGCATAGATAACCACACCCCTCTTGTAAGATGCTTGAGAAAGGTTCGTAAATGAGTCATATCTATATATATTGAACTCACATTCCTCCGGATCGATTCTTCTGATTTTGTACAGCAATTCTACAACACCTACTATATCGGGTTGATGTACCCTCAGTCGTGTTACAAACTCCGCTCTCTTGTCGAAGAACGTGTCAGTATTAGTGTACATGGCTTTCAAGCAGGAAATTGTACTCTGTAATGTCTCCGGTCTTGGTATAGACTCCAGACCACCTCCATTCTCTGCAGTTGCCTCGTTTACTGTATCCCTTGTGGTTTGTGGGGTGTGGTCAGAGATGACATTGTTTACATGGCGCTCGCTTCCTCCTGGGTGGGAGATAAAGTGGATGGCGGTGTCCCACTGTTTCCTGGTTCTGTGATGGCGCTCTTGCTCCCACTACCCTCCCCTTGTATATACCCCAAGTACATCTGTCCCGGCTCCTCATTGACGTCTCCCTTCTCTGCTTCAAGGACTCCATTAGATTTTTGTGCTGTTCCCTCTACATTTCCGTGTGATCTGGGTTTATGAATATACTCCGAAATGTATTGCTCCTTGCTAAGTTTTTTGGATGCAGAATAACTTCTTATTCAAAGCCTCATTACAAATATTCTGAAACATGACAGTTGGGGGTTGGAATGTGATAAAATCTACGGAGCATATATGAAATATCCAATGTCACTTAAACAATTTATTTACAATCACAAGCTATCTTATATTGATTTTACAGTAGAAGTTAAATGATCTAGCCTTTTTCTTGAATGTAAGCTTCAACCCATCGCAAAGGTGACTATTGTACGCATTCGAAGAGTCCAGGGGTGTTGTGAATAATTGTGGCACTGTCTTGCACTCGGCCCCACAATTCCTCACGAGTTGGGACCTCTGTAGTATACTCTTTCCTTTTAAAGTGACCCCACAACTAAAAGTCAAGGGGATTTTGGCCAGGTGATTGAGGTGGCCATGGAACAGGGCCCCATCCACCTGCCAGGATACCCAACCAATTTTGTGGTATAACTCTGAAACTGTGGGATATTGATAAATGGTGATGGAGTCATTTAACAGTATGGAGTATGTATCAGGAATGCACCCCCAGAATTATGAAACATGTGTCAGAAACACCCTGTATATAGTACAGTAGTAATTTTCATCCTAGACCTTGGTCTATGACACTTCATACATCATTTACTCTGGACATACCATTGTCTACTACTGTCCATGTTACAGGGCAAACTTTCATCAAAATTCTGGGGTGTACATCTTGAAACATTAGAACAGAAGAAGCACTATAGTGCACAACACAAACATGGTGTGTGCCTGGACTCACCCCCTAAACAGCAACCTGACAATTACCTGTGAATCCAATGACAACCTGAAAGATAGCAGACACAGCTATGGCACCCTGAATTTCCCGAATGCGGACCTGCCACACCTCCTCACGTTGCTCAGCAGTCATGTTGGCCAGCGGCAGTTGGTCACAACTCTCAAAGTTAGTGTTGATGATGGCAATGGTGGGCACCAACAGGCTGAAGGTACCACCCTGCACGATAGGCAGCCTGGAAGATGGGTCACACCATTAAAGTGATATGGGAAATAAACACAATAGCTGTGTAAAATGTGTAAATTTAAGCATTAACAAAAGATGAAGTCACGAAAGAATTGGTCACAACCAGTGCAGCATTTTGTTCACTTTAGTAATTGTGGAATTTCTAGTCTGGGTACCACCATGCAATTTATTAATGGGTCATTTATAATGTCCTTCTTGCTAAAAATTTACTTTGTAGCATTGAGCTTCATCAAGTATGTGAAGCAAAAATTGTAACTGATTAATGAAAATAAAAATATAATGAAAATGGGTTCGACCCCTTGTATGGTACTGAGTGTATGCACTTAATGCTAAGAAGAGCAATATAGGAATAACTAACAAATTTATATAAAAAGTCTCGAAGAAACTCACCAGGTTCATTGATGACTAAGACGGTCTCACCTAACACCTGGTGAAGTAGACTAAGATAGTCTCACCTAACAACTGGTGAAGTAGACTAAGATAGTCTCACCTAACAACTGGTGAAGTAGACTAAGATAGTCTCACCTAACAACTGGTGAAGTAGACTAAGATAGTCTCACCTAACAACTGGTGAAGTAGACTAAGATAGTCTCACCTAACAACTGGTGAAGTAGACTAAGATAGTCTCACCTAACAACTGGTGAAGTAGACTAAGATAGTCTCACCTAACAACTGGTGAAGTAGACTAAGATAGTCTCACCTAACAACTGGTGAAGTAGACTAAGACAGTCTCACCTAACAACTGGTGAAGTAGACTAAGATAGTCACACCTAACACCTGGTGAAGTAGACTAAGACAGTCTCACCTAACAACTGGTGAAGTAGACTAAGATAGTCTCACCTAACAACTGGTGAAGTAGACTAAGATAGTCTCACCTAACAACTGGTGAAGTAGACTAAGATAGTCTCACCTAACAACTGGTGAAGTAGTCTAAGACAGTCTCACCTAACACCTGGTGAAGTAGACTAAGACAGCCTCACCTAACACCTGGTGAAGTACACTAAGATAGTCTCACCTAACAACTGGTGAAGTCCTAAGACAGTCTCACCTAACACCTGGTGAAGTAGACTAAGACAGTCTCACCTAACACCTGGTGAAGTAGACTAAGACAGCCTCACCTAACACCTGGTGAAGTAGACTAAGATAGTCTCACCTAACAACTGGTGAAGTAGACTAAGATAGTCTCACCTAACACCTGGTGAAGTAAACTAAGATAGTCTCACCTAACAACTGGTGAAGTAGACTAAGATAGTCTCACCTAACACCTGGTGAAGTAGACTAAGACAGTCTCACCTAACACCTGGTGAAGTAGACTAAGACAGCCTCACCTAACAACTGGTGAAGTAGACTAAGATAGTCTCACCTAACACCTGGTGAAGTAGACTAAGATAGTCTCACCTAACAACTGGTGAAGTAGACTAAGATAGTCTCACCAAACACCTGGTGAAGTAGACTAAGATAGTCTCACCTAACAACTGGTGAAGTAGACTAAGATAGTCTCACCTAACACCTGGTGAAGTACACTAAGACAGTCTCACCTAACACCTGGTGAAGTAGACTAAGACAGCCTCACCTAACACCTGGTGAAGTAGACTAAGACAGTCTCACCTAACACCTGGTGAAGTAGACTAAGACAGTCTCACCTAACAACTGGTGAAGTAGACTAAGATAGTCTCACCTAACAACTGGTGAAGTAGACTAAGATAGTCTCACCTAACACCTGGTGAAGTAGACTAAGATAGTCACACCTAACACCTGGTGAAGTAGACTAAGACAGTCTCACCTAACAACTGGTGAAGTAGACTAAGATAGTCTCACCTAACAACTGGTGAAGTAGACTAAGATAGTCTCACCTAACAACTGGTGAAGTAGACTAAGATAGTCTCACCTAACAACTGGTGAAGTAGTCTAAGACAGACTCACCTAACACCTGGTGAAGTAGACTAAGACAGCCTCACCTAACAACTGGTGAAGAAGACTAAGACAGTCTCACCTAACAACTGGTGAAGTAGACTAAGACAGCCTCACCTAACACCTGGTGAAGTAGACTAAGACAGTCTCACCTAACAACTGGTGAAGAAGACTAAGACAGCCTCACCTAACACCTGGTGAAGTAGACTAAGACAGTCTCACCTAACAACTGGTGAAGTAGACTAAGACAGTCTCACCTAACAACTGGTGAAGTAGACTAAGATAGTCTCACCTAACAACTGGTGAAGTAGACTAAGATAGTCTCACCTAACAACTGGTGAAGTAGCTCAAGCACAGTCTCACCTAACACCTGGTGAAGTAGACTACACAGCCTCACCTACAACTGGTGAAGACTAAGACAGTCTCACCTAACAGCTGGTGAAGTAGACTAAGACAGCCTCACCTAACACCTGGTGAAGTAGACTAAGACAGTCTCACCTAACAACTGGTGAAGAAGACTAAGACAGCCTCACCTAACACCTGGTGAAGTAGACTAAGACAGTCTCACCTAACAACTGGTGAAGTAGAGACCAAGACAGTCTCACCTAACAACTGGTGAAGAAGACTCAAGACAGTCTCACCTAACAACTGTGAAGTAGACTAAGACAGCCTCTGCCTAACACCTGGTGAAGTAGACTAAGACAGTCTCACCCAACACCTGGTGAAGTAGACTAAGACAGTCTCAATTCCAACACCTGGTGAAGTAGACTAAGACAGCTCCCCACCTAACACCTGGTGAAGTAGACTAAGACAGTCTCACCTAACAACTGGTGAAGAAGACTACAGGCCTCTACCTAACACCTGGTGAAGTAGACTAAGACAGCCCCACCTAACAATCTGGTGAAGTAGACTAAGATAGTCTCACCTAACAACTGGTGAAGTAGACTAAGATAGTCTCACCTAACAACTGGTGAAGTAGACTAAGACAGCCTCACCTAACAACTGGTGAAGAAGACTAAGACAGCCTCACCTAACACCTGGTGAAGTAGACTAAGACAGTCTCACCTAACACCTGGTGAAGTAGACTAAGATAGTCTCACCTAACAACTGGTGAAGTAGACTAAGACAGCCTCACCTAACACCTGGTGAAGTAGACTAAGACAGTCTCACCTAACAACTGGTGAAGTAGACTAAGATAGTCTCACCTAACACCTGGTGAAGTAGACTAAGACAGTCTCACCTAACACCTGGTGAAGTAGACTAAGATAGTCTCACCTAACAACTGGTGAAGTAGACTAAGACAGCCTCACCTAACACCTGGTGAAGAAGACTAAGACAGTCTCACCTAACAACTGGTGAAGTGACTAAGATAGTCTCACCTAACACCTGGTGAAGTAGACTAAGACAGTCTCACCTAACAACTGGTGAAGTAGACTAAGATAGTCTCACCCAACACCTGGTGAAGTAGACTAAGATAGTCTCACCTAACAACTGGTGAAGTAGACTACGACAGCCTCACCTAACACCTGGTGAAGTAGACTAAGACAGTCTCACCTAACAACTGGTGAAGTAGACTAAGACAGTCTCACCTAACACCTGGTGAAGTAGTCTAAGACAGTCTCACCTAACAACTGGTGAAGTAGTCTAAGACAGTCTCACCTAACAACTGGTGAAGTAGACTAAGATAGTCTCACTTAACTCCTGGTGAAGTAGACTAAGACAGCCTCACCTAACACCTGGTGAAGTAGACTAAGACAGTCTCACCTAACAACTGGTGAAGTAGACTAAGATAGTCTCACCTAACAACTGGTGAAGTAGACTAAGACAGTCTCACCTAACAACTGGTGAAGTAGACTAAGATAGTCTCACCTAACAACTGGTGAAGTAGTCTAAGACAGCCTCACCTAACACCTGGTGAAGTAGACTAAGATAGACTCACCTAACAACTGGTGAAGTAGGCTAAGACAGTCTCACCTAACAACTGGTGAAGTAGACCAAGATAGTCTCACCTAACAACTGGTATAGACTAAGATAGTCTCACCTAACAACTGGTGGCTAGGACCAAGACAGCTCACCTAACAACTGGTGAAGCAGACCAAGATAGTCTCACCCAACAACTGGTGGTTGTAGACCAAGATAGCCTCACCTAACAACTGGTGAAGTAGACTAAGACAGTCTCACCTAACAACTGGTGAAGTAGACTAAGACAGCCTCACCTAACAACTGGTGAAGTAGACTAAGATAGTCTCACCTAACAACTGGTGAAGTAGTCTAAGACAGTCTCACCTAACAACTGGTGAAGTAGACTAAGATAGTCTCACCTAACAACTGGTGAAGTAGACTAAGATAGTCTCACCTAACAACTGGTGAAGTAGACTAAGACAGTCTCACCTAACACTGGTGAAGTAGACTAAGATAGTCTCACCTAACAACTGGTGAAGTAGACTAAGACAGTCTCACCTAACACCTGGTGAAGTAGACTAAGACAGCCTCACCTAACACCTGGTGAAGTAGACTAAGATAGTCTCACCTAACAACTGGTGAAGTCGTCTAAGACAGTCTCACCTAACACCTGGTGAAGTAGACTAAGACAGCCTCACCTAACACCTGGTGAAGTAGACTAAGACAGCCTCACCTAACACCTGGTGAAGTAGACTAAGACAGTCTCACCTAACACCTGGTGAAGTAGACTAAGACAGTCTCGCCTAACACCTGGTGAAGTAGACTAAGACAGCCTCACCTAACACCTGGTGAAGTAGACTAAGACAGTCTCACCTAACAACTGGTGAAGTAGACTAAGATAGTCTCACCTAACAACTGGTGAAGTAGACTAAGATAGCCTCACCTAACACCTGGTGAAGTAGACTAAGACAGTCTCACCTAACAACTGGTGAAGTAGACTAAGATAGTCTCACCTAACAACTGGTGAAGTAGACTAAGATAGTCTCACCTAACACCTGGTGAAGTAGACTAAGACAGTCTCACCTAACACCTGGTGAAGTAGACTAAGACAGTCTCACCTAACAACTGGTGAAGTAGTCTAAGACAGCCTCACCTAACAACTGGTGAAGTAGACTA